GAGTCTAGGATACGCTCTGCTTTGCCCAGTCATGCAGATGGGAAGCTCAAGCAAGAGCAAGAGGAAATTTCTTCTTTGCCCAACAAAATCTCGGCCTATTACTCTCTCGTGTTCCCCCACTCTACATTCTACATTCAAACATTATCTGTGACTATTGGTCGGAGATGCTATCCAAACCCTAATGCTCCTACTTCCTCCTCTTCAGAGCCTATGCAAGTCGACGTTGACCTCGGGGCTTTGAAGAGTGTCTCAAGGCTTCATGCGAAGATAGAGTACGACCCGGAGGAAGACCGCTTCATTTTGATTGTAATTGGACGGAACGGGGCCTGGGTTGATGGTGTTTGGCAGGGAAGTGGAACCAGAGCACCTTTAGGCGAGCGGTATGTTCTAGAAATTATATGACCTCGTGTCTACTCGGCTGACAATTTCCAAGTTCCCAAATACAGATTGCCTCGCGGACTTTTCATTTCGTGTTACCACCTCCGCCTCCTCCTGAGGATACACCCTCGCCGAGCTCCAATTCATCAACAAATAGACCCCGGTCGCCGTCGCTCGACATCACTTCCATATCTCCGCCCTCTTCACAACCTTCCCATTCGCCTCCACCTAGAGATGTCAAGCCTCCCAAAACACCTCCAGATAATCAACTCGGCAACTCCAACCTTATCGCGAGATCGACAAAGGCAAACGCGAAGAAGAGAAAGAAGAGTGATATATCTGATATCCCTGTTCCTCCGCCGCAACCACCCAAACCGGAAGAAATCCCTCCCAAGCCTACGCTAACCTATGCCCAGCTGATATATCGTGCTATCAAGGCATATAATGGCAAAGCGACGTTACAGGAGATTTGTGCATGGATAGCAAAGGAGTATGATTATTATCGCTACACAGACGGAACAGCCTGGATGGTGAGATTACTCATTTAGAAATAGCATTGCTACCTCATCTCTCATTCATAGAGCTCCGTACGTCATAATTTATCATCTGGCCGAGCATTCAAGAAAATGGAGAGGTGTGGAGGCGACAGGGGAAAAGGCTTCTTCTGGTCGCTCGATGAAGCACATCAACATACACTAGAGGAACAAAATTCCAAACTCCAATCGGGCGCTATAGATATCACATCGAAGCGCAAGAAGGACAAGGCTTCGGAACCTCCCCTTAAGCGAAGCGTAAAGGGTGACGCCAAAGGCATACTTCCACCTCCTCTGACCTCTACGCCTCTTTCGATGCAACCCTCATCCAATTCATCAGGAGCGACTACTACGCCGGCGTCTCATTCCACGTTTAATGCCACCTCTACCGCCCAGATAACATCTAATGCGTCAGCTTATACCCCACGTTCTTCAATGGTCTCGACCCCTGTCACGGCATCTTTTTCTGGTGCCGCAACAAATCCTTATTCAACTTTAACACAGCCATGGTCTATACATGCAAAGCCTAACATCAATGTTCCCACATCTACGACTTCACTATTAAGGGCACCTTCGGCCCCGGCGATAACGACCTTCAATATACCCACTGCACCAACATCCAGTCAAACTATTGTGCCAGTAACATCTACATCTACGTTAGTAACCGTGCCTGCATCTTTACCTGGACCAAAATCCCTAACACCTGCATCGTCATCTCCCTCGACCTCTACTATCTCAGCCATCAAAGCAGCAACACCTTCAGTTCCCGATATCGCTATCCCAATTATTCTAGGACCTGTTCCTCCTACTCATCCCAGTTACTCTGCCACGCATCCCAATAATTCTGCTAAAGAAGGTTACATGATCCTTCACGAACGGAAGTTGATCCTTGACCCGGACGTTTTCTCGAGTTTGACAAAAGAAATGCTTGTCGAACTAGAGAAGATGGGTGCAAGCAAGGCTATAGAAATCTTGACAGGTCACCTGGTTAGGGTGTTGAAGGAGCGGAGGAAGAACAGGAAGAGCGCGAGAGGAAGAGGCAGGGGAGGGAAAGGCGCTGGTGGACCTAGTCGAAAGGCTGCTACAACTGGCGCTGCAGCAGATTCCTCTCTGTCCGTGCCTGCAGCCTCATCTTCCCAACCGTCAAACAAACGGACTTCTCCCGTCTCTGCTGCTTCGATGGTTGTGGAACCGTCGCTCGCTCCCAATCCCGATCCTTTGATTCCCGTATCAATCATTCAGGCACCAATGGGAGATGCAGGCTCTCCTATCGTGATCGTGGATTCTGACGACGACGGACCTGCTACAAAGAAGAGAAAAGTTGACGAAGGACCATTCACACCTTTCCTAGATCTCACGGTCCCGAAGCCCGTTATCCCCACACTGGCTGCAATCCAACCTCAAGCTTAGAGGCTACCCAATTCGTCGCTTATTGTTCTATGTTTTCACGTTATCATGAATACGACACAGTATAATGTTGCTAAGTTATCCGTTCGATCCCGTTGGTTTACTCGTACCATGTCTCTAATTCCGCATCTGTGATTTCAATCGCTGTTCATCACATCCTGTACTTTTACTTACCTTTACACTTACAAGCCATACCTCTTCACAGCTTCGTCAGAATTACATGTTTTCTCCCTTCTCGTTTTTGGGTTGCATTTGCTGTTCAAAGGGTTTTGCTGTCCGTTTGGAGCCGGCACGTCCTTACTAGCTTACTATGTTTCGATGCATTTTTTGTTCTGTCTTTGCAGATAGATTGTTCTCTGAGATACGTAAATAGACGCAATTGTACTACCAATTCATACATTTTCTTGCGATGCTTCGTGGCTACAGAGTGTCCTACTGGAAGATTGTGTGAACCACGACACCGTTTCATGTATCAAGCACGGTGGGCTTTGCAAGTGTCATGCCAAATTTAGTCTCGTTCGCAGCTTTGCTTCTTTGTGACATCCCGAAGAGTACTGAAAAAAATGCCTCAGAAAATAAAGGCCGAACCCCCCATAGTACTATGTATATGCTTTCTAGATCCTTAGCTTATTGTACAAGATGGGATTCATCATAATTGCGGAAGAAACAGGTGGAGAAAAACAAAGTCAGCAGAAGGACCGCGAGATGCGCCGGTCACCCGACACCGTTGCTTCAACTGTGCGGATTAACCTGATTGTGTTCCGCCAGAAAATAGTCGATAAGGAGAAATGCCTTGCATTTTAATCCCAGTTGAAACATCTTCTCGTACCCCGTCCGATGTTTTCTCATCCTGCGTAGCAATACCCCAACCATTGGTTCGATGTCCATCGGCTCAATCGACTTCACCGAGGCGAGATGATGTCCCCGAGAACGCAGATGCATCAAGATGCGAGTGCGCTTTGATACCGTCCAAGCCCGGGGAGCATTGACGGAGGGTATCGTGGACGGAAGAGTAAGAAATACAATAAGATTGCTGCTGTGCTTCCCAGTATCAACAGCAGGCTCTGTTCCAGGCGAATCCCGAAACACCTGCCAGTCTTCGTCCTCATTGTCCTCACCCAGTGAAAAATCTGAAGTATCGATTATGTCAGGATTGGTCCTAAATATGAGGAATATGCAAGCTCGGGGCTAACCCTAACAGATGAGGCAGGAAGGACAACGGAAAACAAGGGTCTTGTGATTGGCAAACTGAATGCAGATATAGGAAGTGAGCATTGATTGTAAACGGATAAGAGTCTCCCTTGGTATACTTATAAGGGCTCCGATAGTGGTCAGAGCAATCGGAGGAGGTTTCGAAGATTACTTTGACCGATGGGGAGAGTTTCGGGATTGGAAATGACCTGAACATTGATTTTGATCATCGTAGATGTGGTGTTCAAGGGTTTAACATTGGTTGAGGATGCAGGTGAGGACTGTGTCAGTGTTTGAGTACCATAAAATGGTGGTGTCGACGAAGAAGCTACCTCTGGCATTATAGCGAAAATATCAGACACCGGTGTACTCAATAAGGCATTATTCAATGCAGATTTTGAAGTATTGCAACTCAGGTTAACCGCGAAGACTTCAACATTCTGAGAAAAGGGCCAGGAGGCTTGAGGTTTTTCGTAGAGGGTTATCCTACTTAGGGTTGCCCTTTTTTGTGGATCAAGGGTAGAAGGTTGGATCGAAAAGCAATCATCTTTGCAGGACCCCGTGCTTCTTTGTATCGATTGAAAGAGGTAGATTATGTTTCCATGTGTCTACCCTCTGAGCAGAGAATCCTGAGAAGGTGTCGAGGAGAGCTTGACTAAGAAAGGGTACGCGAGAATATCCAACGGTTCAAATGAAATCTGGGTGGCCGCAGGCGGTTCTCGAAGCAATGCAGGTGTCGCTGAACGTGTTCGCAAAATGTTATTCAAGACCGGTGTATGTGAAGTGGTTTGTAGTGGCGATGATAAATCTTTCATTTACACCAACTCCCAATTTCAACCATCTGATGGGGGGAGAACATCAGCAGCCACAAGGAGAAGGACAATGGAAAGCTGCACATGGGTCGCAAATGATTTTATTTGGGTAGTCTTTGAATGAGAAGATTCAAAAAATCAACTTGCGATAGTTGACTTGAAGACCTGAAATGGCGAGACACTCTGATCCTGCACTCGTGTGGCGGTACTTGAACGAGTTTGAGGATAGATTCACGACGCCAACCTTTATACCCACATCTCCTCCATACATTTTTGATATTAGGCTTTGTTTCTCCAAGCATCCTTTGTTTGACGCCCTGAGCTGATCGCGAAAGGGGCTTCTAAGATAATTCTATACATAAGGTGCTCGGCTGCATAACCGTTCATATCTTTCCTACTTGTTCCTGAAAATTGGCGACTGCTTACATTTGAGCCTTAACAGAGAACTCAGAATGTACAGTAGGTGAAGATTTTATGATTGTTCAGCAGAAAAGCACAGCCTTGAGCATCAAAACCAAGATAATAATTCAAGTCCGACGCACCACATAAGACGCACAGTGTCTAGTTTTGTCTTGTGTGAGACGGGAGTTGGAATGGTCTTTGTTGAGTGGGACGGGCGGGACGAGGTAAACGAATAATCTAGTGTTTAGAATAGGGGCATGGGGAGTAATACTCATGTGCCCGCCTAGCTCAATCGGATAGAGCGTCAGACTCTTATGGCGGAGCATCTGGATCTGAAGGCTGCGAGTTCGACCCTCGCGGTGGGCTATTTAAAGAATATTATTTTATTTTGTTGCATAACAATTTGCAGAGGTGCCTATTTTTGTAGAAGTACCTCGTCATGTTTAATAGTGTAATGCATAATAATGTAAGTACATGACATTGAAGATTAAGGAGCGTCTTTAGTATGGTAGGCAATCAAATCGACGCGCTTTCAACATTGAACATAGCTTATATCCGCGATCCAGTGTTCGCACTCTCCGAAGCTCGAGACATTGCAAAGTTGTATCCCTAACAAGCGCAGATGTCCAAAAGTTACGTGGTTGGGACCCAAACGTACTGCACCATGCTCAGATGAGTTGTACGCTGCATGGTACTCCTAGACGGATAGAGCAATTTATCAGCGCACAGAAGGAGAGACGAAAGCCTCGAAATATACCAACATGAATGAAAAGACGGTAGATATCTACAATATCACGAGCTACTTCCATGAGGGTTCGGGGACTGCCAGTCGCAGTATAGAAAAACAATGGTTTGCTGATCTGCAGATAATTGTAGCCCGGCCACTGCCATAATCCGAGATGAGATCGAGTCAGATACGAAGGGAAAAGAGCACTTACATTGATGTTAAGCTGAACGAAGGGTTGTCTTGGACACCAATCACTTGGAAGAAAACTGGTAATTGTGCTCGAGGGATGGGCTAAATCTTGACAAATTTCGAGTTCTGTCATAGCGACACCAGCCTGAACCTTTCCAGCGGAGCCAAATGGTATAACAGGATTGCCTCCATAACTATGGCGAGGGATCAGGGCGTGAGTCTGGCCGGCATGCCACCAATCCGACTTCACCAGAGAAGCAGTATAGTCGATCGCGTTTCGCCGACCAAACCTCGTCGGGATAGACGCAGTTCTAGTATTGCTGGTTAGGGCGGAAATGTCTACAGCATTGCGACGCGGCCTTGACATAGATTCTGGTGTTGGGCCCACTGAAGGTAAATACTGTTGCATTCTGGGGTTTTGGAAGGCAAGAAATGATTTGAAGGCGACTCAGAGTTCGTCGTAAACCGTAAGTTATGCCTCAACCAGATTGCTGAAGGCCTTTTATACGAATCGAGATGGCCCAACGAGGGGCATAATGAGTGAACTGCATGCCACAGATGGACAATGCCTTTGACTGTGAGAAATCGCCAAACAAGTAGAATGAATTTGATAGACAAAATGAAAATGAAAGAGAGGCCCAAGAGTGATCGTGAACCTTTTCTCACGCCTTTGACTTTCCAAAATCGTGTCTTTTCAACTTGACTAAGGGCTCAGAGCCCCGGTTCTCAATGGACACGGAGCTCAAATGCAATCGCCTCACTTGTAGGAAACCTTTGACAGACAAAGCGGTCGTCGTAAGTCTCTTCCGTCAGCTTTTTCGTATCGAATGTGCGTTCAATCAGTGTCAAAGACAACCTGTAAGTTGCTCCTATTAGCTGTGATACGAAGATATACGTTAAAGCACAACTGGAAAAGGCTCCCATATCTTCTGTGGTGCGTCGCTATGCTGCATATAGGATAGTATAGGATACTAATGTATCTAAACAGTCGATTGTGCGAACGAGCTTTTCAATGCGGCGCGTTTATGCCCAGGTAATCATTTCTAGGGTTTGAATATACACATCTTCATTGTTAACGATTTTTGTGATAGCTTGTGAATCTTCGTTATCCGAACCGTATGTTTTATAGCTTCATGGAACACTGTTACCTGATTTGACATTCGCTCAGAGACGATGTGGTTGTAGGTTCGAGGATTTACTGGATGATATTACACTGACGCCTTGCACGCTAGGTATGCTCGCTGCATCCTTCAAATGACTACAAAACTGTGAGCTGATGCGCATATAATCATACTTTTCAGCTTTACACATGACTAGTCCGTTCTTTCAGGCTTGACTCCTTCGATTATATTAGAGATATGCAGTCGGTGTGTGTTGGAATCTGAGTCCTGGCTCAACTTTCGCTGCCTATCATTAAATGCTGCCCTCATTCCAGAGCGATCGCCTTCTGGCAATACCAGATACACCAAGAAAAGTAACTTGTATCATACATCTACCTTGAATCAGCATCTCACTGGCTATTTTGATTTCCAGCTCCTTTCAACAAGCCGTGCTTCGTAATCTCAACGACAAGAACTCTCAGCTTCAAAAACAGCTGGATAACGTTGTCCGAGAAGGTGATTTGCTAGTCTTGCAAAGTTCATGCAATGCTGATCAGGGCGTTCAACACGTCGCTAGCCAACGGGGAAATAGCTCTGCTAAATAACAAGGCCACAGGTACATCGATTGTTTTCTTCAAGATACGCCTCTATTTGACCTTCAATGATAGACCTTGAGCGAGACCTCGAGGTGGAACGCAGAAAGGTCCGCGACTTGCAAGAAGCCACGCGAGAACGCGAAAAAGAATACCAAAAACTCAAGGTTCAGCGTTTCTGATGGCTTATGTAGAATTCAGGACTTACTCAAATTTGCAGGTTCAGCACGATAAGATCAAACGCAAGGCACTCCTTGGCCCTAACTTCACTGCGAATGAACCTTCATTGAATGCACCCACCAATAATACTACGGAGGACCAATGGGGTGGAATACGAAGTTTCGGAAATAACGTAGGAAATAATGTCGACTTCGGGGCTGTAGTAGGTGGGATGGAAGCAAACGGTGTATGTTACCAATCTATTCTTTCTGTGTTTTTTGTCCGACATTCAATGTCAGATACAACGCACTCCCATCGTCAATCGTGCGAGCAGCTTTCCAAACCGCCTAGGAACGACAGATGGATGGAATCAGAATCCTTCTAGTACGCTCAATCAACGTCAACGTGTCAACCGCGTTGGTGGAACCCATCGTCAACCTCTCACATATTCCGGTGGATACATCTCTGATCGTTCGGAAAGCGCAAACGAAGTCGAAAACTTGCTTTTAGGCGGCGGCGGTCAACGGTCAGCGAGGGTTTCGACCTCAACTGGAGGTTGGAATTCTGGTCTCCAGGTCGCTGCCAATGTTCAACGAATTCGACCAATCCAAAGAGGTACGTAAAGAACCTATCTTCAATGCAAGGCGGCTCAACAACTCCTTGTAGGTTTCGCACCTCCCAACAGCACAAACAAGCGGACTGCTGGGACTTTCAGGCCTGCTATCGCCAGGCAGTGACAATGATACCGGCTCTTTCATTGTTGACCCTTCCAGATGTATGTGTAACGTTGTATCAGACATTGTGTACTAGAATGCGTAAAAATTGTTGATATGGTAGGTAAGAATAATAGGTCAATGTAGCAACTTGTAATCTGAGCATAGAAATCATAAATAAATATACAAAGTATAATAGCAGGCATATGTGATGTTATAGACTGTGAACTTTAGAACGAAACGATGAGATTTCAAGATGCGAATGGCTAGGGAATATGGGCTTCAGTGAGAGTATGTAAAGCGAAAGAAAGACGTGCGATCAAGAAGCTGGATAAGAGATCCAGAGTTTGCAAAATTCAGATGGAGAATAAGAACATAATGATATCAGGATAGATGGAAGGCATGGTTAGAGAGGGTTAAAGATAAAATGGGTTGTTGACATTTTGCATACATGATTTCTGATACAATTTCCTTACTGCGCAGCTCAAGTGACTCAATCCCTTCTAAGGCGCCCATTCTTTTCATCTTCCAGATAATGTCCAATTGCCAGGATATCTTGTCCTGACCTCCTCAAGTATCCCGCCAACACAGTCCGATCCGCATGCGGCATCAAGTCGGAGAGTTTGTCAACCTGACGTCGAAATTCTGGGTCCCATGAAGATTCCGGCGGAGTGGGAGACCCATACAGGGCTTTCGAGGGTTGTTTCGACGGCGACGACGATTGAGACCGTGGTCCACCTCGAACAGTGGGATTGCTCAAATGTCCACTGTGAGAGGTTGTGTGGTGCACACTATCGGCCGAAGGAATGTTAAATAGTGACGGTCTCCTACCCATTGCATTTGCTCTTCCGGCTGAGCTAGAACTAGAGCTATCCGAAGGCATAGGTGATATCATGATTGTCTGAGATCGAAGCATCCTATTGGGTGGTGCTCTAGGGCCTCCGGGAATAGAAGGTAGTCCTGCTGTAACTGTGACAGGAGGATGACTGTTCTGGGAAATGTGCTTATGCGGCTGTTTACTTAATCGTGCGGACGACGACACTAAACCTTGGCCTGCTGTACCAAGACCCTTATCTTTTCTGCTAACGCTCGCCTTGCGACCTAAAGATGCGAAAAATGCCCCGGTCTTGCTTGTTGGTGCTAATGGCATCAGTGATTTGTATCCTTTTGCTGGTGAATCACTTCCACTGGTGCTCCCTACAGACGAGTTTGATCGGCCAGGATATTTCTGGTTTGCCGATGGGAGTGATGGATAGGGCAGAGTAGGTGGACCTGTTGGAGGGCTCATGGATAATGCATCCTTGAAGGTCATGGATAGATCCGTAGCAGCAGAGGCATCTGGCCGTCGTGGAAAGGTAGCTTCAGTTGTAATGGACGTATGCGAGGAACGAGAGGTTTGTCGGGGTTGGGAGGTAAATGGAATCGTGGAAGGTGACGCAGCGTGAAAGCTGGTAGAGACGGGTGATGTAGGAGTTGCTTGCGTGAGTGATATCGCGGCTCCGCGATGTGTGGATCCTGAACCTGAAGATAATTTTGGGAAAAAATAAACAGCAAGAAGAAAATGCTCGAGTCAGAAACATACCTCCATGGCGCACGTTCTCCATCCACTCTTCCAATCCACAATCGAACATCCATAATTCATTGATCTTCTGAGCGTAAAGCACACATCGTTCGCTCGCATTACGTTTTGCTGTCACTTCAGAGCAAAACATAGCCGCAGGATTTGGATCAATCTTCCGCTTAAAACTTATTGGTTGTAGGGGAGTGATATACGGACGAGAGACTTTTTGCAAGGATTGCATGTTTCTCAAAGGGACAGATGGCCGGAAATTGATAAACTGAGCTTGAGGAAGGTCGGGCAGGGGGTGATTGGATATTTCATCTT